AGGGTGGAGTTATTGGGATAGCCACGCGCCATGTTAAATCAATGCTCCACCAAAAACACAGCCTAACAAACATGTAACAACGTAGAATTGTTTTCTTCCACTATTTCCTCCTGAAGAGATTCAGTGTGTTTGAACTGTTGTTTTCATGTTATTTTCAATTTTCTAAAATAATGTTTGGATTGTTATTTTCGAAAATACAATTTTTTAAAAACAAGATAAAATTTATAACATAAACTTAAAATGATTATTGACATTTCGAGTGTTTTCGTTTGAACGCTTAAAACTCGTTAAATTAAAACATAAAACAATTTGCCCTCTTCTCACTCAACCTAATTGATTCCTCTCCTCTCTCACTTGTCGCCTTCTACCAAAAAGTCCATTCAGCGACGTCCACCATCCGACAACAACCTCCACTCCGATGACATCCTCCACTCCAACGAGCAGGTGCCTAAACTTCTCTCTCAAAACCAAATAATCAAAGTTGCAAACACCTTTTTGTTTTGAAGTTTCTTCACGTATTGAACCAATTGCAAGACTCAGCGAATTCATATTCTCAAAACAAACGCCTCCTTACTTTTACAGATTATACAAATAAAAATGAGATTTGAACCACCAACAGAATTTGAATCGAAACAGAATGATCAACAAATCAAAACATGAACTAATCACGAATAGAATTATAATTTGAGCTCATCAACTTCATGATGTGTCATTAAGATGAAATGTTCCTTCTAAGATACTTAAAGGCAATCATCAATCGTTTTTAAGAATAAAACAAATTTCATTTGTTACGAAAGCAGGACAACAATGAGTAAGGGTTTTAAGTTTAACGAACTCAACCTTTTGTTTTGCACTAAAAAATATAGAAACTGAATATAGAGATAAGATAAATTCAANNNNGAATATAGAGATAAGATAAATTCAAAGGAAGATTATTGAATTTGAATGGTGTGATTTTTTTATTTTTTTTAAAAGGCGGGCTATTCAAAAATCTTTCTTTTTGATTAAAAAAAATAGAGAAAAAATAGATTTTTTTAAATATTAAAACACCTTCTTTGAAAATCGAAATTTTTAAATTTAAAATAGTGATCAGAAAAAACGCAAATGGTGCACTAGTTGACACTTCCATGAAAGTACCAAACGTACCCCTAAATGAGTTATTCAAAGTCGTGATTGTGCCAATGAAATTATGTATCAAATTGAAAATTCAAGAAGGGACAAACTCCCTATTTTTTTTTTTTAAACTAAAAGCATATATGTGATGGGATGTTCTGTCATAATTTATCGTACAGTTATAAAATGCAAACGAGCCCTACATATTTAGCAAATTGCAAGTATTAATTATTGAGTAATCAGTCAACATCCACCAAATTATAATAATCTAAATAAACATTAAATAGTCATTAGCACAAATCATTTGACTTCCAAACGTTGTAACCGCCTGCCAAGGCTTAAATTCAAGCCCACCAACAAATTTTCTAAAGGGAAAGAACACGTCAAGCTTGCTGAGGTCGCATGCACTTTATCATTTCCATGAATCGGTATCATCTGACTCATGTGGGACCCACGGAAATAATTTAAATTAACGCCGTTAATAGAATATTTATTCATGCATAAATCAGTTGACACTGGACAGAAAGGAAAATTGTAATCAGTTAATTTTTTTTTTTTTAAATTAAAATAATAATCTTTTGGACCCCCTTGCCTTACCACAAAGCGTCACCGTAATTGGATTGTGCCAATCACATTAAATAATAGGAAAAATTGCAGCAATGGTACCAAACCTTTCACTTTTTTGCAGACTTTGCCCAAACCCTTCATTTGTGCTACCCACGTACCATACCTTTAAACATTTTGTGCCCGGAGTCCAAATTGACAGAAACCATTAGTTGACCAATAATTAAATGTCTGACCAATCGTTGAGCAATTTATAAAGGGTAAATATGTAACTTCACATTTTTCATATGAAAAAAATTAAAATTAAACAATTAAAAACCCCAAGCTACTACTGTTGAATGAAAACAACATTTTCTTAAAATTTTTGACATTGGTTTTCCCTTGTGGCTATATGATTTTCACTTTCTCAATTCAAGAAGTTTCAGTTTTTTCTTATTTAAATGAAGGTAAATCAAGAACATATGTTCAATAATGAATAAAAAACATTATTACATTTTTGTTTTGAAAAAACAATAATATATATAAAAATAATCATATTAGTAAACATGTTTTATAAACTATCAATAATTATACATAAATTATATTCAATTTGAAGATCAATTGGCTGAAAGATGAGAACCATATTTAATATTGTAAGTAGTAAAATTTACTTAATTTTTTTAAAAATACATTTTTCTTTCTCTTTTTTTCAACAACACATTTTTCAATAAAATAATATTACATGTAAATACAAATTTTTTCCTTATTTTTTAACTATACATTTTTTATCAATCCGCTATTCCAAAATACATTCTTAACATTTTCAATGGGGCTTAAACATGCTTCTAACAAATAAAAAATCAGGAGGATTGAATAAGGACATAGTTGACAGAATTATGCATAAATCAAATAAGGGTATATTGGATTTATAGCTAAATATGTAAGGGTAAAATAGATATTTAAAAGTTTCTTCTCAATCTGTCATTTTTAAATATTGTAGATGATGTGTTCAGTTTGTAGATGATGTATAAGTGGACGGGAAGGTGACATGATCAGTTGGCCACTTGATCTTGATCATCTTTAGGACAACATTGTGAGTTAACAAACTATTTGCATATATCTATCACAAACCATCCAATCAGTGTCACAAAATGATAAGTGGGACATCTAAATGCTCACTTATCAAAAAATCGAGGACACGGGTGCTAAATTTCGTCATGAAATCAAATCATACATTTAACCTAGGATATATCTCCGTCAATTTCGACGGTTGTCGTCAAATATCGGTCCAAACATTTGACGGATTAGGGTGGTAGGTGCAGACACCTGAAAGCCAAAACACAAACAATAAAAATAAAAATAAAAACACACAAGTCAAAGTGTCAAACATCTTCCTCTCTATAAAACAAGGTTTCAATCTTTCTAAAATCTCAACAACAAAAAGGAAACCCTCTCTTTACTGTGATTTTATGGCAGCCAATTTACAGAGGTTGGGACTGGCAAAGCGATTTCTTCCTTCACTGTGTCTCAGGTACAATTTGTGAGTATATCTATGGTGGGGGTTGTGTATTTTTGTTCTTAGCTCGATAATCATCTTTCGGGTCCATTTGGCATGGTTTTGAGAACTAAAAGGAGTTCTTGAGATTCAAAAATTATTTTGAAACTTTGATTAATTTTATAAAAGTACTTGTCACGGTTAAAAGAGTTTTTCAGGAAGCAAAAGATGAAAATATTTTCAAACATTAGTTAACTTTCTCAAAAAATTCTTCTACAAGAAGGGTAAGCAAAACCAAAGTCATCTGCTAAACACAAAATCATCTGCTAAACACAAAATCATGAATTTGGCCGAAGTTTTCAAACCTCTTGCTTAGGGTTTCATATTTAATTAATACGATATAACCGACATAAAGGCTTCTATTTAGGTTCCATATTTATGATAGAAAAGGCCCGAGTACTAGAAATCCTGCCATATCCTTGTTTAGTGCTCTGATTAATCTATCCTACGTTGTCTGAATTTATCTAAGTAACGTTACGCAGGAGGGGTGTGCATGTGTCCGTGTACGACAAGAATATAGAGGAGCATGTCCACTCGACTGTGGTGCCCGACTATTTAATCCTACCTCAGTCTGACAAATACTGGGCTCCTCACCCTCAGACCGGGGTTTTTGGCCCTGCAACTGATCACAAACCGGTTGATTTCTACACCTCATCGATGAGTGCAAGTGGCGATTCCGTGTTGGAGCAGAAGGCTTTTTTCCGCCCTCTCGAGGATTTGGAGAAGCCACCCCACCCTTGAATTGTAGAGGAAATCTAAAAGTATAACTCTGCCATATAAATTAGTATGGTGAATAGGTTTGATTGCCCTAGTAGTTATATATGTTTGTGTCAAATTTAAATAAATACTGCTTCAGTGTTCATATTTTGTAAGTAAGATGGGTAGATGTTGCTTGTAATATTGCTATACGCTTTTGCCATCTGGTGTTCTTGGATATAAATGCCATTTTACTATCTCAAGAGAATTCATTTCATTTCTTGTTGTCTTCATTTATTAAGGTATGGAATAACGTCTCGATATTAAAATGGGCTGCGAAGACTCATCCACGGCAACCTTGCACTAAGCTGTTTTTGGACTCGTCGATCCTTTAAGTTAGTTGTACTAGACCTAACTTTCGAGTACTTCGCCTTATAAATAAATTATCAGAAATGTCCCCTCAAGAAGAATGAATTAAATCTTAAAGGGGTATATGGACCATTCTGTTTGGTCCAATCAATAATTTTGACATACATTGTACAATGATTAAAAATTTGTACAAATCGGATAAAAAGTGCTCCCGGACATGGGCTAAATATTATAACATTTCGGATTTAATTTTTACAAGTCAAACATAGCATTTTATTCAATTACTCCAGATAGATTAATGTAGTTAACAATAGATGGATGTTTCCCAATCCAAAACCTATCTTTGAAATTCCATAAAACACCTTTTTGATTGAGGAATTTTGCTCATTTTCACACTTAAGTCCTCAATTATTTTTCGCTATATTCTTATTATTGTATGAAACTAAATAAGTTATTATAACATTGTAATATGTGTTAAAATTCTAAACCATCCACATACAATATTAACAGATTTAAAATTTCAATATACAGAGGAAACGTACGGTGAAGGAAGATGGAGATAATATGTTGAGGCTGCGTTTTTTAATTTCCTGCCAATGGAGAGCATGTGAAGAGATTGAGAGGTGACTACTATTATAATTAACAATTAATGTAAATAAATGAGAGGGGACATGCATGGCCGCTTTGTGTTAATACATACACTATGTAATAAACATAATTAATATTATTATAGATATAAAAACCAACATTTCCCATTCTAGAACTGTTATCAATATAAGAGTAATTTGTTGTGGGCTAAAGCTTCTCAAAATTCAAAAACAGCCTAAATGATGCTTATGTATGTGAATGTATTCATGTTGGCATTAGTGGTGTCAACCGAGCCGAGCGGCTCGTCGGCTCGCCCGCTCGGCTCGTACTTTCTCGCCCACGAGTCGCTTAGGCTCGTTAAAAAGTGATTACGCCCAAAGAATAACGCGGTAGTTGTAGCACAGTTTTGGGGTGTCGTATCCACTGGGAG